GTGTGTGTGTGTGTGTGTGTGTGTGTGTGTGTGTGTGCGTGTGTGTGTGCGCGCGTGTGCGTGTGTGCGTGTTTTAGATTTTCCCCACAACAGCCCCAATTCCACCCAGGTGAATAGATTCACAATCAAAGCAGGCTTCATCCTATTGCAGACAACGAGAGCATTTGAGATGTCCAACGTATTAAAGGAATTTTGTGTGTGTGTGTGTCTGTGTGTGTGTGTGCGTGTGTGTGTGGGTGTGTGGGTGTGTGTGTGTGTGTGGGAGTGTGTGTGTGTGTGTGTGTGTGTGTGTGTGTGTGGGTGTGTGTGCGTGCATGTGTGTGTGTGTGTGTGTGTGTGTGTGTGTGTGTGTGTGTGTGTGTTTGTCTTGCCCGCACCCTTATTGAGATCGAAAAATAAATTGCTGTGTTTCGGTACCGAAAAAGCCCGAAAATGAATTGCAAGTCCTACGCCTTGCCCACACCCTTATTGAGATCGGAAAAAAAATTGCTGTGTTTTGGTACCGAAAAATAATTGCAACTCCTACGCCGGGCATTAAGGAGGGACGGAGGAAGTTAGCCGAAGGAATGGCAAAGGGAGGAAGGAGGTCGGGCAGAGGCTTGGTGGGAGGAGGAAGGCCGGGTGAGAAAGGGACGAAGTCAGGCGGAGGTCGGGCATAGGGAGTGAGGAGGTCAGGCCGAGGTCAGGTGGAGAGAGGAAGGAGGTCAGGAGGTCGAATGAAGGGAAGAAGGAGAGACGGCAGAGTTTGGGCGGAGGCAGGAAGGAGGGAGGGAGGAGGTCAGGCAAAGGTGTGGTGAAGGAAGGAGGTCAGGCAAAGGTCTGGCGAAGGAAGGAGGTCGGGCAGAAGTCAAGCACAGAAAGGAGGGAGGACGGAGGGAGGAAGGGAGGGAGAGAGGGAGGCAGTCGGGCGGAAGTTGGCTGGAGAGAGAAATGAGGGAGGGAGGAGGTGGGATGGAGGTCACGGGGATATCCGGGAAGGAAGGGAGGAAGGAGGGAGGGAGAGGTCAGGTGGAAGTTGGGCGGAGGGAGGAAGGAGAGAGGGTGGAGCGCGGCTGGAGGCCGGCTCCAGCCGCGCTCCGGAGATGAGGACGGAGGGAGGGACGATTTCAGTAGGCAGTGATGGCAGCAGGCCTGTATCTAGTCGTATTTATGTCTAGGTTTGGAGTTTGTAGGTAGGACTACAGTCTGCAATGATGTTCATCGGTGCAACGAGTACTTGGGAGTCATGCTGCTGCTTCGCCGAGAGGGTGGATAGCCAGAGGCACGGGGTGAGTAAGGAGGGCGTTGAGGGTGATGGAGAAGAGCTCCATAGCTATGGCGGAGAAGAGGGTGAGTGCCTAGCTATGGAGGGAGCACTAGTACAGGCTCAAGCTGGGCTATGGAGATAGGACAATGGTAGTAGGTGAGCGGAGGAGGAAGGAGGGGAACCAAGAGCAAGACAAACGCCGCATCAAGAAGGCCCATGGAGGGAAATGGCTGGACTTGGACTTCATCCGAGGCACAGGCTATGGCAGTAGGAAAGGGGGAAGCAAAGTGTTAGTTGCGTTGTCCGTTGAATATCCATCCATGGCAGGGATGATCCGCCATCACAACCAGCTAAGCAAGGAGGTGAGGGAGACAGAGAGGAGACCTAAGGGGAGATCTTTCTGCGCAGCAGCAACGGTATCTTCTGGACATTTGACCACTGTTCATCCATTCATTCATTCGTGGTTATTATATTTTATAATAAAGAGGGGGGATGGTTATGTTAGGGATGATGACGGAAGTGGAGAGAAGAGGGAGGAGCCACAGGTCTACTCTTTGTGTTTTTTTTCTTCTTCTTTTTCTTCATTCCTTCTTTGTCTTATCCCATTTCTTGATTGACAACGAATATTGTTCACCCAAAGTTGTGTTTCGCATCAAGAATCGGACAGGATAATAAGTTAATAACAGTTGTGCTCAAATTGTTTTTTGGATAGTAATCCAACCATTGCACATCTAACACGACGGATCGATCTTGAAACACAACTAACCATTGGACAAGAGAATGGGTTTCCAATCACAAAATGAAATAAAAGTGGTTTCCAATCACAAAATGAAATAAAAGTATCTCAGGACTCTAGGGGAGTCTAGGCTCTTTTTCGTGTGAATAAACCTTTTCTGCCAGATCGGAATGTCATTTGGAGATCACTACAGTACTTATCCCGTAGTAGAAATCATTGGGCATCATTATCACACACCATGCACTGATATGGTTCTTACCTGTCCACTTGCCCCTTCCAGACCCTGCCCAGTCCTTGGGGCACCAGCCACCCCCTCCCCTTTTGCACCAGGCCTTTACATTAGAAACAACAAAACCAAAGCAGATGCAAAAGGCCTGAGGAGGTCAGTCTTTCATTTTGCCAATAAGATTTTGATATTGAATCTGAGATTTTATACTTAAATTATACTCGAAAAATTATACTCTAAGAGTGTTCACAATCATGAGAGGAGTTGGACTGATGAAGTTGCTGAGGGCTGCAAACAGAATTCAAGGTCCATAATTGCGAAACACATTAAACGAATCATGCGGCAGTGGAGATTCTATCGTTTTCTCTGTTTAAAGGTACAGTTATTCAGAACTACTCACGTTCTGAAAAAATATCCTCTCCTCGTTCTCACTCCCATGCTGTATGGCCCCTGATACATCCCTAGCAGGGAGATCCTCCAGAGCAAGCGCTGAGACCACCTCTCCTCTGCTTTGCCCAAGCAGGCTCCATTTATGGCAGAAACATATTTCATAAACTTGATCCAGGGGTGCATGTCACCCGTGAATTTGCGTGTGAAGGACAGAGACAGCATCTGTGTATATGCACGGATGCGCACTAACACGAGGACATGCATGAGAGAGAGAGAGAGAGAGAGAGAGAGAGAGAGAGAGAGAGAGAGAGAGAGAGAGAGAGAGAGAGAGAGAGAGAGAGAAGGGAAGGGAAGGGAAGGGAACGGGGGGCAGGGGCGGGGGAGAGGAGACATTTTGAAAGACGTGTGTTGCCATATAGCACCACTGGAGGCCTTGGATATAGCAAGGAGGAAGGAGGATGACATGGATGAGGAAGGAGGATGAAGGGAAAAGACGGGGAGAACGGAGAGGATAACTTTTTTTTATATATTTTTTTAACCGGTAATACCTTCAGATGAGGGGAAGGCTTCTACCTAATCAGGATAGGTGGGAATGGTTTCAAGAAAGCTACTTTACACTATCTCAGATGGTGTCCAGAATGTCAAGGAAAGTAGCGAACGCTAGTAAAGCAAAGGAAACAAGCCTTGGATACCGCTCTAAAGATCGCGGAGACAAATCTGATCGACAACCCCTCCTCCCCACTCTAGACGGATATCTTTGAAAAAGCGAGAGAAGAATTGGCCCTGCTCAAATGGTGGGAGTTAAAGGGCCAGAATGAACAAATACGAGCTAAGCAACTCAATGTCGAAACACCTCTTTGCGAGAATAAAACCAAACTCAAGGGCCAACTCAATTGAAGGTTTGCAGACTCTCTCAGACACACCTGAAATGCTAACAGATAGTGCAGGGATGCTGAACATAGCCAAGGAGTTCTGGGAAGAGCTATACCATACGAAGACCCCTACGCCTACGCCACGACGCAGTAGAGAGGTACTGACTAAGATGCTACAGTATCTGGAAAGAACGATCTCAGGAGAACAGGCAGAGGCTCGCTACAAACCCATCACTATGGAAGAATTGCAATTTGCAGTCCAACATATGAACAACAATAAGTCACCAGCAATCGATGGACTGACAAAAGAATTCCCAGAAAACTTCTGCCCGCTCCTGGGGGGTGACCTGCTGAATTTTTAGAACAGTTGGCTCAAGGGTCACATTGCTGTACAAAAAAGGGGAAAAGGAACTTCTCAGGATATTACAGGCCTGACCTAGGATAAACTGGCATGCTAAGGGGCTTCAGAAAAAAATTCAAAAAAAAAAAAAAAGTGATCAATTCAGAATCCCACAAGAAGCAGGAACGGGCAGGAAAGCCCACCTAGGATAAACTGGCATGCTAAGGGGCTTCAGATAGTTGGTTGGAACGTCAATGGTTTGGGAAATACGCTAACTGAGGAAGACAAACTCAGGGACATCCAAATAGGCGGTGAATAAGGATCTCCCCAAACCCGACATCATACTTCTCCAAGAGACCCATCTGTCTAATCTGAACAAGCACTCGGAGATACAGCAAAGACTGGAAAGAACAATAGGGGGATGTGGTTTCGCACAATGGTCCAACAGAGAGGGACAGAGCAACAAAGGGACAGCGATACTCATCCCGAAAACATCCAAAATTCTAATCGAGGGACAAATCCTGAACAGCGAGGGCGACAGTGAGGGAGGAAGGTGGTCCTGGGTAGACATCAAATGGCAAGAGGAAGAGATGAGAATTCTCAACCTTTACGCACCTAACACAGAATCCGACAGACTGACTTTCCTCGAGAACATCAAGACTCTCATCCCCAACCCACAGCCTATTGTCATCGCAGGGGACTGGAACACAACCCTGGACCCAAACATGGACCGGATCTCAAGAGCARCACTAATGGGACCCACAAGAGCAGGTACCCTGATTCGAAATCTGATGACAGAGTTCGAACTCATCGATCCTCTCAGATCGCTGCACCCGGAAAAAAAGGTGTTCTCCCGGATAAGKAAAAACCAAGCAAACCGGACATCCCTGTCCAKGATAGATTATTTCCTCATYTCCGAGAGCCTACTTGGCACAGTCAAAGAGGCCGAAATCCTCCCCTCGGCAGCCYTYAAAGRGCTAGACCACAAACCCATCCAACTGCTGCTCAACTTCAATCTACCAATGGATACAGGCCAGGGTTTCTTCAGGCTGAATAACTCTCTCCTCAAAACCGAAAGAATGGCCTCGGCAGTCAGAGAAAATTGGGCCCTCAACAAACAGAGAGAGTCCAAAGAAACGAACAGCCATCAATGGTTCATCGACAGCTACTATCAATTAACACAGACAGTATCAGCAGAATCCCGAAATACCGCCAGAGACCGCAAGAGGAGAAGAGAAGAACTCCAACTCGCAATAGCTGTTGCAGAAGCAAACTTGGCGGAAGACCCCTCCAGTGGATTCTACCAAGAGCTACTAGACRACACCAAAGACRAATTGAACGAGTGGAGAAGATGGGAGYTGAGAGGATTGCAGATCCGCGCGAGGATGAYAGATTAYGCACTCAATGAATCAATGACAAAGTTCTTCTTCTCCAAAATCAAAGCGRACGCAAGGAACAACATGATAGAGGCTMTCCAAGATCCAACAGATCCAGGACACACTAAAACATCAGGCCCCGAGATGGTAAGGATAGCCAGGTCATTCTACGCAGACTTATACGAGTCCAAGACACCGACACCCCCGAGCACAGCAAACACAACAGCTCGCCAACTCATGCTCTCGTACCAGGACAAAACCATCTCGACCGATCAGGCGGAAGGCCTGGACAAGCCACTGACCCTGGCCGAACTACACACAGCCCTGACTCAGATGGGAAATGACAAAGCCCCGGGTATCGACGGACTCTCCAAAGAATTCTGGAGCTGCTTCTCGCCGATCCTGGGAGAGGACCTTCTCGACTTCCTCAACGAAAGCTTGCGCAAAGGAGGCCTAGGAAAAGAAATCAGCACCAGTGTGGTCTCACTACTGTACAAGAAAGGAAACAAAGAAGACTTGAAAAACTACAGACCCATATCTCTACTGACCACGCCCTACAAAATCCTAGCGAAGGCACTCGCAAACAGAATCACGAAGTTAACAAACAGTTGCTTTCACATCGACCAAGGAGGCTTCATCCCAGGCAGGTACATTTTGGATAACGTTATGACCCTGAACGAGGCAGCAAAAAAGATAACAAAAAAACGAACGAAAGCTGCAATCCTATTCTTCGATTTTGAGAAAGCCTATGACCAGGTTAACTGGGATTTCCTCCACTCATGCATGGAGAAAATGGGGGTAGGCCCGAACTTTAGGAATTGGGTTAGAGTGTTATACGGCGATGCAACAGGCAGTGTCCAGGTCAACAGAATCCTTTCCGATACCTACCCAATCTCGCGATCAGTCAGACAAGGGGACCCATTGGCTCCGCCCATATTTCTCTTCATTATGGAAGGCATAGCCTCCTTCCTCCGCAAAGACCCATCCATTGATCGCCTCACGGAACGGAACTTTAACCCACTACACGACTTCAACCTTCCCACTGCACTCATGTTCGCCAACGACCTCACTGTTCTCATCCGCGCCAGTAACAGCTCCTTCCAAGCTCTAGTAAGGGCAATGGAAGCTTTCAGACTAGCGTCAGAGATGAGGGTTAACTGGAACAAAACTGAAGGGTGGTGGCTAGCAGGCGACATCCCTCCCCAACCAGCAGACACAACCACAACCATGACATGGACTACGGGAGAACAAGCACTAAGATTCTTGGGCATTATGATTAACAAGGAAGGGGTATGGCCACGAATGGGCCAGAACCTAATTGCTAGGGCAATCACCCGCGTGGCCCAATGCAAAAAAGCTCAGGCCTCTCTAATTGGACGGGCAATGTTAATTAACACAGCAATCTTCTCCACACTGTGGTATATGGCATCCATCTGGTCCCCCCCTTACGACGACATCAAAAAGCTTAAGAACAGGGTGAGATGCTACCTGTGGACAGGCGATCCTAACAGGACCACTTGCATCAATAAGGTAGCTTGGAACCACAACACCAGAAGACCTCAGAAAGGGGGCCTCGGAATCATCGACCCCAAACAAGAATCCATAGCACATCAAGGTCCTGATCAGTCAGTTCCTCCCATGGACTCAGATGGCGCTAGACAGTATCAGAAACCTAGCCCCCATCATCTCCCCCCTAAACATGGATGGACGGTTTTGGCTCATGGCTAAGGATTGGACAATAAAATCGAGCAGGCCACGCAGGAGAAACCCCGCACAGCCTACAAACCCCACTCTAACAGTCAGTTCATACTGGACTCCCACCATCAAAGCCTGGCGTAGAATGATGCCAAGCAAACACGCAGCACCAGGAAATAGAGAAGAGGTTCTGAGACAACCCCTCTTCTGCAACCCCTGGATCACCGACCCCAGCGGCGCGGAATGGACCCTACGCCCCAGAGACCGTAGGTGGCTATCTTGGGTTGAAAAAGGGGTGTGGCAAGTCAGACACATCTGGGAAGAAGACCAAGGACGTTGGACCACTGATCAGGAACTACGCAATGTCCTCAAAGGCTGCCACTCCCTCCCCGAAAACTTAACATGATCCAAAATAGCATCCTGTCACACTGGC